GATGATTGATGCGTCTGATGATACGCTACGATATGTTTCGTGCTGCATAATAGCGAGCAAACAATGCTCAATCAGGGAAGGCTACGGAAATTTGGAGTCGAGTCATACTATGGCCCGTAACAAGATCCTATTAATGTTTGTATTTCCAGGGTTGAGCTAATAAAAATAATCTTTTAAACTGTGTTTTGTTTACTCAGAATCGCCTGCCTTGAGAACGGTGGTTTCGACTAAACCACATGATATGCTATGATAGCAAACACCTTTTCAAACGCCATTGAAGAAAATGATGCTGCTAAGGGCTGTCCGTATTTTCTTTGCTGTGTTGAAACCAAGTTCTGAAACATCATTTTTTGTGAGAGAATCCGATTCTTCCTTATGAGACCGAGTTGGCTCAATTGAGTAAAAGTTGGTGGAGGGCATTCCAGGGATTCAATGTGGGGAGTGCCATCTGTGTTTGGGCGGCGTGGTGATGCCGGCGTTGGGTCTGCACCACCACCACCACCACCAACGCATGCTGGTGGCCCTCCGGGTCCTAATGCCGGCCCTCCGGGTCCTAATGCCCCTGGAGCCCCGGCCCCATCAGCAGCCATGCCTCAGCAACGTGATCAAGGACAACCAGGACGCACTTCTGCCCGTCGTGCTCCTCAGTCAGGACCAGGACCGAACACATTGCCCAGCTATTCACACCTTTTTTATTTTGGTCACAATCTAATACTATTATTATTTAGTCACTATTTAATTGGTCCAGTACATTATCATGTACAAACAATTTATATATAATAGATTGGATATGTGAAATGCGTGTATTACCACAAATCAAACAGTATATTCAAATAATAACTTTCAATTCGTTGATATATAGTAACTTACATGGCTGTTGTGCACAGGACAAACTGCAAAAGCAGGTCCTGCTCAGCCTCCCGCAAAGCGATCTAAAGTCGCGGCTACAGCAGACTATCCCAATTTGTACGCCGTCCCACTTGAAGATAAGTTGAACACACTTCGTTCAATGGACCGGACTCAGTGGAATGACCAAGTGGCCAAAAGCATGGACGACTACGACGCTACCGATACTTACTTGTGTTTTCAAAACCTTTTGGTAGTTTTCTTTTCTTCTGAGGAAGAGGTCCATTCACATGATTCACAACTCTTTAACTCTTGATAAACTCACAATCCCGGTTAAAGGACATTTGTGGACCCAAACTTGAAGCCCCTTCAACTCCCGGACTGCTCTGGCTCAGGAAGCGTTGGCAATCTTGGCAGATTTGGACCCGTCAGAGAACCCCAACATCAACACCCAGGACAAGAATGGAGGCCCGGAACCGGCCAATCAACCATTAATTAGAACAATACAATTATTTGGAATGTACCTCCCAGCTCATCATCGTTGTCACAAGAAACAAGGCTGGCCAGGCAAGATTTCAAGCCCATTGCAACCTCCAATTTAAGCTCTGCAACCGCTGGCAGTTAAGATTTACTTGGACAGCCTGGTCTACGAATTCCAACGACGAACCGACAGCCAAGAGCTTCCCCCGTGCCCCTTGGTGTCTGATAGGGCTTGGGCCTGATGGGTCTTAAAATGTGAATTTGGCTCTCCCTGGTTGAACTGAAGCTGGTCATTGCTTTACTGCGCACACTCATCTAATCTATGATATATAGATATATACACGTTCAATAAAGGCAACATAAATTCAAACCTCATATTGAGATGAGTTTAGTTTCTGTTTCTTCCTGCCAAGTTCATCTTTCAGCCGAGATTCTTCGAAGCATCTGCTGCAATGTCTTCGCAGAGACAGGCAGAATCGCAACGCGATCCTGGGCAAGATTCATGTGTATCAGTCCAGGGAAGGCCGTTGGTGTATCTCTGATGGGACTTCCCACAAGTATCTGCCGAATGTTATCGAACCGTGGAAGACCCAAGTGTACTGGTGCTTCAGGCAAAGGGTTCAAAACATGTCATCATGTCCACTAATATTGATTGCTTTAGTTGGACAATCCGTGTTCCTTGTGACCAGAACACTTCAGTTAAAAGGACTATTGAATTAACTTACCAGGCTACCAACTTAGCCTAGGATAGCGATTTCACAGATGTAAACTTTATTGATATCATACATAATATGACATCACTGGGTCCCTGCCAGGGAGAACAAGCCGTTCATATCGAACGGTGTGCAGAGCGAATTCGTCGAGAATTACTTGGACGATATCCCCGAGCATACATCTACAGTGCTCAAGGCATTCCGGTTTGGCAGGGAGAGGACTACCAAGGGAGCAATGTTGCGTCACAACCTGCAGAATCTTAGTCTTAACTTAACATAGTGAAGCAGTTGTTGATGTTTTTGGTTACACTGTCTTGAGAAACCATGAGAAACCGTTGGCTTCAAAGAAATTGTCATGTAATTGGATGTGACGGTGGATCTGTCTATAATTTTACCATCCATAACATATATATATATATCCAATAGGACTAGGCCACTAGACTAAGTAGAGTTGGGATGCCTAGACGTGGGACATGCAGATTAGCATTTGCACCGAGGACAAGTCGCCTCGTAGCACGACTATTCCTGAGCTACCTGAATACGTGCTGGCTTACCCAGAGGGTTCCCAGCCATTGCTCGTATCTACTACCAATCCCAAGGAAACGGCATGGCTTCCCGAAAACTCAGACATGGACTATTGTGTGGTCACCAACCCGACCACCAAGAAGATCATGATCAGTTCCCCCGCACTTGGATATTCCACATATGTCCCTGGGCGTGTTGATAAGCTTGTCTTATTTTTTTGAATGAATCAATGGTTGTAACGTGCCAGCATTCCCACAATTACAAGTAAGTGCTGCCCCTGGTTAGCTCAGGTTGAATCTTTGTTGCCAGCAGTTCCAGACCTTGAAGCTGAACTCATGACAGGGCCAGGGGGTATCCCTCCACCAAGTCCCCCACCATTGGGAAATGGCGATGGAGAGGCCAGGATTCGAGAAAACAATAACAGCAAATACAACAATAATGAACAAATTGCCAATAATAATCTCAATAAGGTCAATTTGCCACTGCAGATTTATTTGGATACTTATCTGGTACAGTACTCCACCTTACTTCCATTTTAAGGAGGTTGCCCCTTGAAACCCTTGCTGCTACAGGTCCCAGCGCCCGAAGCCCCTGCTGCGGCTGAAGCTCCTGAATCGATGGCTTCTGAGAAACCAGTGCCACCGGCACCAGCGCTCAAGTGAGTGCAATTCCATCCTGAGACGGGTGCGCCGACATGGGCTTGGCCCCGTGACAAGGTTCTCCTCACATTATTTAATTTGTGGCAATTTCCCCAAATGATTTTATCCAGATTCACCAAGGTTTGGCCCATAGATCACCGTCTATGGGTCTACTATATTCCTTAAATTTAGTGATTTCCCTGATTTCCTCAATTTTTAAGGGTCAGATGGGGTCGGTTAGACTAAGTGGCCAAATCACCAGCTAAACGGGGCACTTAGTCTAACCGACCCCTACTTTTCCTGGGAAATGTGCATCGGGGCAGGGGTCGGTTAGACTAAGTGGCCAAATCACCAGCTAAACGGGGCACTTAGTCTAACCGACCCCTACTTTTCCTGGGAAATGTGCATCGGGGCAGGGGTCGGTTAGACTAAGTGGCCAAATCACCAGCTAAACGGGGCACTTAGTCTAACCGACCCCTACTTTTCCTGGGAAATGTGCATCGGGGCAGGGGTCGGTTAGACTAAGTGGCCAAATCACCAGCTAAACGGGGCACTTAGTCTAACCGACCCCAGTTCCTGTCCCCCAGGTCGGGTCACCCCATTTCCCTCAACCTTTTCCCGTACTTTTGGGGCAACTTGGGAAAAACCGTTCAATGGAATTGGGCCCATACTAGACCTCTGGTAGTCGGCATTACTGTGATTTTGGGGGCCTTGCCTGGCAACCAATTTGCGCAATCCGTGAGATGGAACCAAGCAGCAAAGCTGAATCAACCCAATGTGGGACTGGCGGTGTAAGATCGTCGGTCGCATGGAGTGGGTTGCTTTTTGGATATAAGCTACAATTGAGAGCAGCAGCTGTCACAGATAACAGTAAGGGGTCAAAGCCAAGTCAAGGATTCCTACCCGGTCCTACCCCCAACTTCAATGTTGTAAGTGTCACTCACCAATCAGTTATTGCTTAATTTGGGCAATGTAAAAAATATCATAAGTTGATGTTGTTTTTCACTAAAAACAGTACAGTAACTTAGTTGTTACGTGAGCTGACCAACAATTTCCAACAACAATAACACTGAGCTTCTGGTTGCATGGCATATGGTCACATTTTTGTTCCTGGCTATTCCCCCATCGACTGCTGCCTCAAAGTTGGGATTCGATGTTGGTTGCGCAAAGGGCGCCAGGTTGTTTTACTCCACATGTCTCAGTTTTAGTGTCACACCAGGAAGCTTATTATTTCCTGCGGTACTTGATTCTAGAATAGAATCTTCTTAGAAAGCTGTTGTTTCCATTTGACTGGGCCCTCAAAAGCACAGCTGAATTCCGGCCACAGCAAAGCACATGCAGATTGCAAGAGATTTGAAACCTATCCTGGTGAGTCTTTTCCCAAAAAGCGGCTCCAATTCTTAAGCTTTCCAGTGCTGAAAGCACGTGCGTGATCGATGCATATCAATTGATTCAGGGTTCTAAGTTCTAGGGTTCTAAAGCTGGCTGACTGAGGTAACTGATAGATGTCTCATTGTAGATGACGATGGGGCCGAACTTGACGATGAAAGACGGGAGGATGTGAAAGATTTCTTGGAGGAAGCTCGAGTGCTCCATCAGACTGCCGTTCCTAAAATTAAATTAAGTTGTTTCCCCTGAGAAGACATTTCTTTTTTCACATCTCACTGATTCTATGAACCAACGCCCTTTGAAAGGGGACAACAGTACCACCGCTCAGTAACAGCGGCTTATTATATTTTATTCCCCTAAGGCCCTATAAACCCAGTCCAGTCTATCAGCCAAGCAGCCGGCTTAGGTGATGGAATTGAAGGGGGACATTGATCCAGGGAGCCTAGCCAAGATCCGACGGGAAGCCAAAGCTGCATCCAACTCATCCTACAAAGCTATTCAGTTGTTGGCCAACACTTTGTCGCCCGTTGTTTCGATGGATGCATTTCTGCCGAGAACAGACTCCCCTGGCAGCAAGGATTCAGGAGCCCTTACTCAAAGACCAGTGCTGATTTGCTGCGCTGATGAAGAGAGAAAACAGTTTCTTATTTTTTTAGAAGCAGAGTTTTCAACAATTGGCAATCGGTTTGGTTTGACATCCCCCCCAAACACTAGGAAAGAAATAAGGTCCTGGTCCTTGTCCAATGTTTTCCTATTATTTTGAATTTGAACAGCACGTGTGAGGGTCAAATGGATACATGTCCTACAGTATGCCATGAAGCTGCGTGTTTTCAGAAAACAAGATTATCACCACCGATCGTTCAACGACGCTAAACTGGCAATTCAGAAGTCGGGACTATGGGGATCCTTGGCTGGCCAAAAATAACGACTATTTATTTTTGTTGATGATGTTTGCAAACTTCCCGTACCAAAAAAACTGTATTCCGGAAATTGCTTTTGAAAAGTGGTTACCTCCTGCTCCAGCCACACTTGCCCACACTACACTCAGGCCTCACCGCTGCCATACGCTTTGCGTTGTCCATCAGCAGGAAGCCATTTCACAGCTACGCATTTCACACCCAAATGTGCGACGTGATTTCTTTGTACTTGCGGCTTTTTGGTCCTAACTCAGAAGAGTGACTTGTCTTTAAATTTTAGATGATGACATGTGGGTCCATATCACATTTTCTATCAACCATCGCATCGCACAACACAATTGAATATCATTGACACCGTTGAGTTACATTATAGGTAACCATAGGTGAAGCTACTCCAAACTAGGATAAATTCCAGCAATTAATAAGTTGAATTTTATCAGGGTGTTGCATCCATATTTATTTATGTACGACCTTCCCTGGCAATAGGAAAAATGAAATTGTTGTTTGACTTTGATGTGGTCATGCTGCTGCCGCGACTTCAGGTGCTGCGAAAGCCTTGATGAGATAGCGTTTGACTTGGGCTTGCGCAATGATGCCACTGCTCAGGAAGTTTATGACACGCTGTTGCAAAAAGTTCAGGAACTCACGCATGCTCAAGAGGCTGGCCACATATATACAAAATTACAAAAAACACAAGTACACGATGATTAAATATTCAAGTTGCAATTATTGTAATATTGCACCGCGGGGTTCCCAAATTATTTGGGTTCAGATACTCAGGACTATGTCAAACAACTCAGCTAATCCAAGTAAAAATATTTCTGTGGATTCTGGATTCAGTGCCAATTCAACTACACACATATATATATATATAGATATGTATATAGTAGGCCGATCCCAAGATTATCACGCTCCTGCCAGGTGACCCTCAGCAAATTTCACGCTCTGAACTTCAAGATTGCCAGTTGCCTGCCCTTCTGGACAGTGTTGAAGAAAGTGCACAAGTTCAGGCAAACGCAGTCCGGGGATGCAGCAGGAGAACAAGAAGACGAGGAAAACAACCAAGGAGATGACAGGGATGGGACGACTGGGGATGTGCAGCAGCAAGGGCAAGATACCAGCATTGACAATTTACTCAGGCAACTCAAAAAATTGCAGAGGCAACGGAGTACTTTTGACCTGGTATGCTCAATTTTTGCTGACAATCGAGTCAGACAACTGGGATACATGTTGCTTACCTGAGATTATTGGCTAGCTTTTCCACAACTATGCAGAACTGAAGGGAAATTAGAGATCTTCATGCAAACAAAAATGGCAACAAATCAAAAAAAGTGGTATATACTAGTATAGAGTTTCCTTTTTTAGACCTGGGGCCGATGCAACCTGCACCTCTCCCTACACCTCTCGATCTAAGGGTCTATTTTTCTGAACGCCCTCTACGGGAAGCGCACCTGATGGTTCTGCGAGATACCCAAGACCGAGAGTCTAATGTGTTGCAACATGCTGGCTGGGCAAACAAAAGCTATGCAAGTGTGGTATGTGACATATTGGGCCAACTAGCACAGAAACATGTTCTGGAGAGAGTACAGCTCTTGCAGAGACCATCTGATGAAATTGGTGAGAAATCGCATCGGGAAGCAGCTGAAATCTTTGTTGGGTTGTGTGTTAACATGGCAGCTCAAAGAGCCTGGTCGATGTCTTGCAATCACGTGCTTCAACCAAATTGCTGGTCTGGAATATGCGACCCTGATTTGTCTCGTGCACAGTCTTGCAAAGATCAGATTCAACAAGATGCTGAGACTATCCTAAGCGCTTACCAGAAATTGAAGGATGGTGACACAGAAGCAGATTTGAAGGCGAATTGTTGAAACTTTCGTTTAGGCAAAGTGTCCTACGTATGTTTTGACTTGGTAGGTGTTGGTGTTTTGATCCACTGACCTCATCCAATAACGGAATGTTCTTGGTAAAATTTTCCAAATTTACCACTAGGCGAACATTAATATAGGCACAGGACGGAACAGATAGACAGCGCTTAAATCTTGTAGTGTGCAACGGATAAATATGGGTTCAATCATTACCCATGCGTTTGGCAGGGATTGCAAGATGTTTGCGATGAGTTGTGGTACCACAAGCTCACAATCAACCAGGAGACTTGGAATTAATTCCTTTTATTTATTTTGTTCAATTTCAGTGCGTATTCTGCATTCATTTTTCTCTGGAATTTCTTTGGCCCATTATTAAAATAACTTACCTGTTCCTGTTGAATTGCTTTGTTTCCATATTCAGGAAATGTGGGATCACTGCGCAGCAAACGCGTGGAGCATCCATGCAATGTTCGACCATGTGTACAGGCTTAGCGATACTTTAGCTAGCACAAAAGAGTGCATCGAAGACCTGTTTGGTGCTGGCAGCGACCTCCGTCGCACCAACAAAAACCCGTGGAAGTGTTCCACAGTAGAGCGACTACACCACTTAGCATCCTACTGGACACGGCTCAAGGAAAGCTCTTGGCCCAAACTGAAAATTTGTATGGGTGACTTTACGTCCACTCGGAGGGAACGATGTAAGAGGTACGTCAACATTGGAACATATGCTCCAATGTCCAACACACTACAGGTGGTTCGCTTGAGTGGGATCAAGAAACGCCAAGGACGGGATCCAGTGTTATCTTGAGTTTGCTTTCCTTTACTATACGTGTCAATGTTTTTTGTGTCCAGCGTGGTCTGGTGCATGTGGTCGCATGCTGCCAGTTACGTGATATTAGGAGTGAGGGTGCGAGGTCGTGTGTAATATATGTTTTGTTGTGTTGTCATGTGAGATGTGTGCAGAATAAGCCCTATCAGGATTCCGTGCGGACGCTAATCCAGCAGTGGCTGCATTTGAGAGCAAGCACCACCGACTGCCAGACATTGATGACATCAAACCAGCAAGCAACCTTGCTGAATTCAAGTCTATTTCCTCCATGGTTGTCCTACGAGCAGCAGCACGGTCAAGGTTTTCCAATGTCAGCGGGTTTTGGGTGAGTCAGTTATTGACAGAATCTTGCATTTTTCTGGACAAGCTTTCCGGACACTACTACCTGAGCCTGGGGGTGCATGGGAACACTGGCCTGTTCTGGCAAGTGGAGGAGTTCGAAAAGGATGGAAACATGTACTTTTGTTTGGCTTTTCCTGCTGAAGGAGTTGATGATGGCAATGCCCGTGGCCGATTGCAATTTTTTTGCACTCAACAGATCTGGGGCCCCGCCATGGCAGAAAACAATGAAGAGTACGAGGGGGTTCCCACCAGAATATGCTTCTTGGTTTGAATTGAATGTGACCAACCCTGAAAAGATTTTTTCCTTGTCCTTTCCTTCCTTTCAACCTTCGTTCCTAAAGAGTTTGAGGCTGTCCATGGGAACTTCCAGACGATGGCTTCACACCACATGGCATCTTGCACAAGCGCACGGGGCCAAATGAGCCTTTAGTCAAATTTTGGCTTCGCTGTGGCCAGAGTTTGGATGCACGCTCGTTGAACAGGCTTGCAAAGATGATCATTGCAGCGTGTGAAATCAAAGTGAACCTCTTCAAGGAAAAACGCACAACCATTCGATCCCAAATGTTTTTCATTTGCACTTAATTTTGCCCAAGCACAGTTCGGTGTTGTTGGTGTTAGTATCGTAAGTTCACTTGGTTCATTGGTGTTACTGAATCATACTGAATCTACTCAATCAAAACTTGCTTTCAGTCAGGCAGTTATGGTTTTGCTGGGGTGTCACAATTATATTATGGTTTAAAAATGTTTAAAGAGTCTTTCCGGAACAAAGACCGGGTGTTTGATGTGACATGTTGTTCTCTACCTCTCAGGTATTCCTTGATCTCTGCATTCTTTCCAGACATCTCCGACGAGGAAAAGCAGACCATGCATCGTCGATGGTTTCCAGATGCTGCAAGACAACAACAAACAAAGCAAAAAGAAAACTTTTCGGCTAGTTACTTAGCTGGTGTGCTAAGTAAGCTGGAGCACGAGGAAGATGGAAACGAATTCGTGCGTTTGAAGGAATCAATAGATGAGGAACAGCGAACACAATTCATCCTCTCTCGGGTAGGACATGCTCGCGCAAAAGCGGCACGATTCACACCACGCCACATCAAAAACCTGAAGCCTCCAACGCACGGCGCAGTTTTGACATGGCAGCCAACATGTTTTTCTTTCCAAGCATATTTTCCAATACCGGAAAAAGAAAGGAAAGAAGCAGCAGAGAAAGCAAAAGCAGCGGCAAAGAAACGTGCGACACGAAAAGTTCAGACTTACTGGAGCCGTTCACGGAGTTACAAGGAAAAGAGAACTAAACTAGAGGCCCTGACCTGGGTTGTGAAGTGGCTGTGGAAAAAACACAAGGAGAGCGGCGGAGAGACTAGCATACAAATCCAGTACGCTGTATGTGTATTAATCTGTATAATGTGTTTTCTCTTTTAACTGGTTCACCGTAGTTTTCCAGGGCATCACCCATCCTTCCCCTCGGACCTACTTAGGACATGACTGATGCTCCATCAGAAGACAGAATAGCTGAAGCTTTGGCAGAGGGTTCAAAACCCGATGCTGAAATTGATGATGAGGAGGACACACCTCCAGATAGTGCTTCTCGCAAGAGAAAGCGTGAGAACAAAAAGGATGAGGATGAGGGGTCCAACGCTTCAAAGAAGGGTTCCCCGTCTGTTTCACCTGAACCTAAGGGCGTAGTTTCATCAAGTTCTTCTAGCTCAAGCAGTTCAGCCGGAGACCCGGCAGCTGATAAGAAAGAAGCTGCAGAGACTCCTACAAAAGGAAGGGGCAAGGGCAAGGGTCGTGGCAAAGGGAGAAAGGCTGCTGAAGAAACTTCAGCTCCACCTCCCAAAAGAAACAAACCTCTCGATACGTCAAGCGTAGTCTCTAAGATTCCCCTAGCTGTGCAAGCACAGTTGGCCAACAGCATGCCCAGTGCATCTGCTTCTTCCTCAAAAAGAGGCAAGAGGTAAAACATGAAGTGCGAGCAGAGCAAAAAAAAAGGATTGGGCATACCGAGAGCAGGACAACAGGACAAGGGAGAGCAGGACACGGGAGTCGATGGACAGGTCAAATTACAACAAACCATTCCAAATTATGCATCATGATGGGAAGCTACCATTATCAAGGTAAACCAGTGGGAAGCCACCAAAATGCCAAAATGAAGAACATAGGGGTCAGCTCGATAGGGTCAGTTCAGTGAATCTTAGATTCAAGCAAATTTGCCGCCCGAGGAGGTTCCAACGTATGGATACATTGTCTGCCGATTGCTGCACAAGGTCTCGGATCTTGTGCAATACCTGATCGCATCAAATCCAGTAGTCTTCAATCCAACACTTTGTGAGGAACCCCCCAACACCAAATCAAAACAAAATCATAATCAAAATCCAAATGAAGACTAAGATGCAAAATGATCTTGGTCCAGCTTGTGCATGTTCACATACTCTTCCCTGTATTTTTGCAGTTTCTTAAAATCATCGTTCGGTGTAAACAACCGAAAACAATCCTTCTTCTTACAACGGCAACGTCGGCCCAAGATCTTCCGCAAACACTTCTCTGAATCAATGGCTTGGCCATGACTTTTCAAAGAACGCTTCCGACTCGGTCTAGCAACAGGTGGGGGTTCAGGGATCAAATTGCATCCCTCACCTTCACTTTCTGACAGCACAGCGACATTGCCTACAGGCATATTGCCCGATCACATCTGCCATTCCATTATTCAGGTTACCATTGAAAAAGTGACTGATTAAAAGTACTGGTGTGATCAATTACATGTTGAAACTTGATTCGCAGTATTGATGTGTATGGATGGCTCATGAAATTCTCAAAGGCTACAGTTGAAACAATGACAAAGAAACTTGCACGGATCTTCATTTGGTCATGATGTCTTGAGAACCTAAAGACTGTAAAGTCAATCAACCTCCAGGCTTGCAAAAACTGTTTTGCAACACTCTCTGTTCTAGATTGACGTGACGATGAGAATTAGTTTCAGCCTTTTTGAACTGCAGGGATCTGGCATCTCTCGTCTTTATGGCCCAGCTTCTCAGCCACAACAATCAAATTCAAAACTGACTCAAAGATTTCTCTGAGAGGTTCTCAATTTGCCTCTCTTTTAGGCAAAAAACGGTCCATATCTGCAAGGACTGCATCAGCTGAGGAAAGTGGCGGTCCAGGCAATGCATGTGGGAAGCCTTGGTTGAGAAAAAAACACCAATACCAAGCCAAAATCCTGGAACAAGTCATGCTCCCCAGAGAAACTTCATACAAAATCACACATCTTGAATTAAGGAAAGGGCAACAGGAAGAATCAATATCATATCAAAAGATCCAAGAAACCATGAGCATTGCAAAGCTGCAATCCATCGTGGATAGAACGGTACTTCTGGGTCGAAATAAAGAAGACCGGGCACTGCAAAAGGTCACATCCGCACATGAAAGGCTCAGGTGGGTCATCGACCTTCAAGGATTTCTTCGGCAGAAGAACAATGCGTGTGTTCGACTCAGAATGAAATTTACTGCATGCAAACACGACCAGGCGTGATCCAGGGAAGCAAGTCTCACGTTGAACTTCAGGAAGTGCAATGGCTGTCTGCCACGAAATCCTCAGTTACAGCAGAAATTCAAAAAAAGTTAATGTGCATGTTGCTAAATATGGGCGACTCGAAACAACAAGAAAATACAAAAAGTAACGCTGGTGTGGCAGGGCACGCTACTGTGGGAGCAGCTGGTCCCTCCGGCTTCTCCCCCAGAAGGTAAAGGCATGGCTGGCCACCAAGCTCTGCGCATTCACCTTCATCAGACACAGCACCCACCATGTTTTGCAACAACAAAAAATTCGATAATTCAAAACCGGTCTTTAATGCTGAAAATCGGTCAGTCAACTGGCAATGAGACACAAAAGTGAATGACAATGAACTTGCCTTTGGCAACTCGCCCAAATGCTATAATGATCTTGTCCGGGGTGTTGTTGCTGTTGTCCAACACTTCCTCCACTTCAAAGCGGGTTTTAAGTTTACTGGTTTCAACATGATGCCTCTGGTCCATCTGTCCTGGAGCACTTGTCCAGAAGCGACATGGAAAGCTTGGTCAGGAGCCGGGCGCTGTCTCAAGCCTTGACCAAGCATAGACAATGCCGAGAAGGTGTGAAACCCATTGCAACTATTGAAAAGAACACAAGGAGGAAGCAATCAGTAGAATGGCCCCTGTCTGTGTTCCAACGTATTCAAAACCAAAGCAATCTTTACATGACAGGTTGCAAGCAAAGTCAGCACTCCACAAAATCAAAATGCAGCCGCTCACTCAACAAGCGGTCTCCAATCATGGCAAAAAGAATGCTCATGACCATGGCTTCCGCAAGTATGATCCGCTTGCACCAAAGGTACAATGCAAAAATGGGGCGTGGAATAAATTACTAAAGCTTAAAGTTGTGTACTGTTTACTGTTTAACTGTTAGGATACGAGGCCAAACTGCCACGACGTGGCAAAGAGACATGTTCCTAAGGAGGTTGAACAACTTCAGCGCGCTCATTGAAATCCCGACCGTGAAGCATCAAGGGACGCAACTTTTGGCTACTTCTGGTTTACTCACCTTCAAGGAACCTCGGGATAAAAGATGGAACATTTTTCTCGGTTAAGGTTCGCACGGACTTTGGGGTTCGGGGTCGAATATTATTGGGAGGCGCTGTAGAGTTAGGTCACAAAATAATAGTGAATAAGCAAATATATGTTCCTTTGAATTTTGGGGGTAAGTCGCAAAACAAAAGTCAAAAGGTGACAAAATATGGCCAAGTTAGGCTACAACACAAAATTCAAAAGCAGGTGTATTGGCTCCAAGTCGTAGCTAACCATTCATGGCAACACCAAATTATTTGAACGCAGATCGCATTCAACAAACAAAGACGCGGGAATAATCATAAGGACAAAACGATTGCGAAAAGAAGAAACACATAATCTCAAAAAAGAAACATATTGATGGTAACAAGAGAAATCGGTTCAAACCCCCATGCTAGGCTGAGCACTTAGCAAGTTTGGCATCCCTATAGGTCACACAAACGTCAAACGTTCATGTCCAGGTCACTACCTGGAGTGAGCCTGTCGTTTCTAACACCCTCTTGTTGGTACCAGTGTTGTTAGGTATGGGTTGCGCATATATAGTGGGTAACTAAAGGTAGCTTGTCACGTATCGCGTGGTTGTATTATATGCTCGGGTATACGCGTAAACTGAACCATATTCATATATTCAAACTCAGACATATTCATATATAAATATGTATGCAAATACTGCAAACGGCTTCACTGAATGACATCTGAGAAAATGCAACTGGAAAAATGACAATGTTGGCTTTCAGCTGAATCGGCCATTTCTTTTTGTCACGGCGTGTCGGGGGGAAATCATCCACATTTCACGTCGCATCCACATCATTCGTTCACGTGTAGCGACTCATTTGAGTTTTCCACATTTTCTGCAAACAAAGTGAAGGCTTGTTTTCTCCCAGGGTGGGATGTCAGTTTGGGTGGGAGAGCGAAATTTCAGCTACAATCAGTGCTCAAAATTTTATTGCTCCCTACCCTTTGTTGGGATGATAAAAATCGGCGTCATGAAATTCATCAGTGATTTCAAAATATTCATGCTGGAATTTCAGTTGATAAAAAGTGTGAGTTAAACAATTTCACTGTGTAACAAACATCAGGTCCAAACACAAACGATAAGTTTGTAAATCACGACGGCACGGTTCACGATTGTTTGTTTCAGTATTTGTTTCAGGAACCCTTCACGACACAAAAGTAAAGTGTCAGATAAAGCCAGGTGAGAGTCTTATAGATTATCTTGAACTCCAAAAGACATAGTAATTTTCTGTTTGGTTTGGGACTTTGGGGGGGCGACTTTTTGACCTATTTTTGGAGCCCCTTTTTGGGCTAAAAAGTCGCCCCTTTTTAACCCCCAAAGCAGTACCAAACCAACGGGAAAATTACCAAAAAGACATGCCCGGTTTTTCGAAAAATCATGAGGGTCTTTTTTCCCACTTGGAAATCCACTCCTCACTTGGTGAGAGTCTCGAGAGAATAGGTTCAAGCGCCTGCCAAGCAACCACAACACAGAATCACCAGATGAGCCACAAACCCACAAAGCACAACCAACTAACAAACACATAAGAGGAACCAACAAGTGCGCTTCAGGTCTTTGACCTTACACCGGGTACTAAGAAACAGCAGGATCAGCACGCTGAGCCTTTACATTCAGGTATGGGCCGGCGCTTGTCGCGAAGCGACATGAAAACTTCTTGGTGCACATATCTTCTGGAAAACTTAGCAGAAATCTAAAGCAATTTCATTTCAAAAAATGCTGAATTGCCCCCCTTCCCTGGCGTGATGTTCTTCGTGGCATTTTCAACGATCGGGGGGCGAGACTTTCAAGAACCAAATGTGCTACGAGTCAGGAGCATCTCTGTCGCCTTCTTCAAAACACCGTCCATGCGGGCACATCAAAAAAAGCAACTGCTAACCGTCACTTGCAATGTGATCAATGTGTTTTTTGAATGGTATCCAAACCTTGTTTTTGAAAGTTTTGTGTTGATTCAGCACAAAACCTAACATTGTCAAGCTTTAGGGCTGGACTCACATAATTCTTCGAACAAACATGGTGGCCAACGTGCTTTCCATAGAACAGCGTGACCCAAAACATTATGTATTTTATCCTTTGTTCAAGGATCAGTTTGCATGCCCAACCATAAGGGGAGCGAATTTCCAAAGAATGCGAGTTGTTCCAACTTCCAATGTGGAATTCGATAATTCTCAAACCAAAATGACTGACACATGACAGGCACAAACATGAATGCGAAAATTCAAAGTTGGAACTGTGTTCGACCACTGGCTACCTTTCAAGCACCTCAACAGAAGACTTCATCGTTTGGCTGTCCTGGTCCTGGCCCTTACAGATGAAGATGTCGCTTTCAAAAAGGATAAACGTGGTATG